CTTTCCGTCCTGCTATCTGACATTGTAGCTAGTCTTAATGATGGGTACTTAAGTAATAAGTACCCATCACCAGAATTACTTAAGTAATAAGTACCCATCACTAGAATTGCTCAGGCAGAATGTACAAGTTTAAAAATCATTTGTCAAGAGATTATGGAGGTGATTATAGGTTTGCCATTAATTTAGGTTAGATTGGGGCCTCCTGGGTGATGCAAGGGGTTAAGCACTGCACTGTGAACCAATCCGCAGCCTCTGTAGCACAAGTTTGATCCCTGACCAGTCAGGGAGCTACCCATATGGAGCAGCAGACCTCTCCTGACTCACCCGCTGCTCCCTTCAGAGGTGTGTTTCGGTAAATCTGCCTGTTCTGTTCCCCGCTCTGTCTCTGGTGAGTCCTCTCACCGCCCCCCACCCCTGCTTCTCTGGCCTGTACCCCAGCTCTTGTATGCATAAATAAATAAATCTTTAAACAAAAAAAATTAGGTTAGATAACCTCTAAGAGATTACCATCTCCTAGTTTCTGAGATTCTAGTTCTTGTTCAGCCAGCCTCCCTTCTCTTCCCTCCTTCTCTTCCTCTCTCCCCTTTCCTTCCTGCTATCTGACATTGCAGCTAATCTTAATGATGGAGTCTAAGCCTTCTAACACATCTTCATAAAGAATAGGGCAGTCAAAATTACTGACAGTTAAGACTAGGGCATATTACAACAGGCTCAATTTGCAATCTGACATAGTGAATACATCTTTGCTTGTCAAAGGCAGTCACAGGTTCTTTTCAACAGAACAATAATTCAAGCAAAGTACTTTAAGAAAGTGGTTAAAGAAAGATTGACTTGTCTATATGATGACAGGAAGAAAGATTGACTTAGTAGATTCAGTGGGAGAAACAGCATCAGCAATTGGGAAGTTGACTTCCTGTACACAAAAAAGATTTCCCAGTTTTTGTTTCCATTTACTTATTTATTCATCTGTTCATTCAACCAGCAAATATATTTTGAGAATATAGGCTAAGAGACAGTGTACTACAATACTATGACAGTCACTTTATTTGGTGATATTTCTCAACATTTCACAAATGGATTTCATGAAGACTTTTTAGAGGCCTCACTTATTTTGAAACAGAATAGTGTCTGCTGTTATTTTAAGGTTTTACAAAAACAAACATTTGAATATTTTTTCCATTTAAAATGGATCAGGGCTGGTCACATGAGGCCACAGTGAATGGACTATGGGTGAGCCTAAGGTCAGAAACCTGTGCTGGTGGCCATGACTGCTATGTTGAACAATCAGCTGGTTATCCCTAATTTACTTTTTTTTTTAAAAAAAAAGATTTATTTATTTATTTATTCATACAAACACTGGGTACAGTCAGAAGCGCGGGAGGGTGAGAGAATTCACCAGAGCCAGAGCCGGGAGCAGACCAGGCAGAAGGACCGAAGTACACTGCTGAGGGGAGCAGCGGGCGGCAGGAGAGGTCTGCGCGCCATGTGGGACCCTCCTCCGGTGGCCAGGGAGCAGCTGGGGATCGAACAGGCGCCGCGGAGGCTGCGGGCCGCTTCGCAACCCAGCGCTCAACCGCTGCGCCACCGGGGAGGCCCCCTAATTTACTTTTTTAACCCTAGTCATAAGTGGTTTTAGTTACACCTAACAAAGACAGCAAGTGAATCACAAATATATTAGATAATTTTGCAGATTAACTTCAGTTATCTTTACAGTTGTCAAGTTGCATTCATTGATCAAAACATAGATATTTCACTCTTCTTTTGTACACCTAAAGCCACTTTTTAAAAAAAATACTAATTTTAAAACAATAAATCAAATGTCATTTTATTCAGAGTAAAAAGGGTCTTATAAATTTGAAGCTGTCTCTAGTATTTGAAAAGCTAACAGAGAAAGACAGACTTACAGTGATGATTAGATATCTGTAAATCTATCCATCACTTCCTTATATTATAGAGGGATAAACACATTGTAGTCTGAAACAAAGCACAAAATGTGTTCAATTAAGCCATCTAGTTAAATGCAAGGATTTCAAAATGAATCTTTAATCTATACTCAATACTAAGCTCTAGTAGTTTGAGCTTTTCATTTATTTTAAAATAAATTAAAGTCAAATACAATGTGTCATTTTAATGTACTTGTCAAAAAATGGCTTCTTTCATAAATTATTTAAAGTAAATTTAATATGATGTCATCTTTACATCATATGTGAATATTATAATATGATACTTGATAAAAGCTTTAACTTCAGAAAATCTCGTCATACTTCACACCAAAAATTACAAAGTGATTTTCTGAACTGTTAAGGCTTTTCAAAAGCCATTTAGAATTTTTGAAGACTAGGAATTACTAAACTGCTGAGATGAGGCAGGGTTTTCTCCCCTTTTATTTTACAGTTGAGAAAACTGAGGCTCAGAGTGTAAACTATTTGCCCAAGGATAAACATTTAATGGATGGTAGATTCCAGCTCTAAGTCAAGATGATGTGAATCTGAAATTCATGCTCTTAGACACTTAACCAATGTGTACCTGTGCTGCCACGGTACAGTGGGAACTGGAGGAAAGAGAGTGAATGTTATTTCAAAGACGAAATCCATAGGTATTGGCAGTAGCTCAGAGAGACTGTAATTTTGGTGAGTAAGGGTGAGAAAGGATACTAAGACTATTAGTTGAAAGAGTTAGGAAAGTAGTGTTGCTACCACATAAATAAATAGACAAGTAATAAGCAAATGGGAATTTCATTTAAGTAAAATGATTGCTGAGATTGATATTGGCCTTTTTGAGTCACAAATAACAGTAAAATTAACTGGAAGAGCCATCATATAAACATTTGAAAATATAGAACTTAGATGCTTATTAAATGTCAGTGCTGAAATGCAGATTTGGAGCCCATCACAAGGGAAGTGGTTGAAATCAGAACAGTGGAAAGGCACTGGGAGAATGAGAACCTGGGAAGGGAAGAAAACAAAATGATAGTCTAAATCTTGAGGAAGGCCCCATTGGGACACTTGGGGAGTGAAAAAATGTGAGTTGAAGGAAAAAAATTAAACAGAGAATCATGAAAACCAAGAGATAATAAACATGACTAAAATTTACTAAGCACTTACCATGGGTCAATTTGTTGTGTATTTTATTTAGACCACGTTATTTAATCTTCACAACACAGTAAGGTAGGTTCATGTATCTCTACTGATGGATGAGGGTGTGGAGGAGGCTTGGCAACATGCCCGTCATCCGAGCAGTTCAGGCCTAAGGAAAAATCTGGAATCCTTGTTTCCCAGCCTCCAGAGTCTATGTTCCAGTCAGTGGTATCCAGAATGCACAAAGCAAACTGCTGTGCTGTGGAAAAAATGTTAACATTGCAATAATTTTATCTCATTCTTTTTCAATCTTATTTTTGTTTGTACTTTACAACGTGCATTCTATTAGTATGGTATTACATGCATACCATACATATAATTAATTTATAAATTATAAGCATTTATTTATGGAGATGTGTGCTCAAGTAATTTACTACTATGAGGATGCAATGAAAAATTCTAGAGATTATTGCTTTAAATCATTATCAAAACGATCTTCTCTTATCCCATCTTCAGCAAGAAATGGCAATTACTTTTATGGTCAAGCTATCTTTTAAATGTGATACTCATTCTTGTGGATTTATTTATATTTATGTATGTGTACAAGAACTGGGGGTTAGGCTAGAGGTGTGTGTGAAGGGGGTGGTGGTAAGAGGATTCACCAGAGACAGACTGGGGAGCAGAACAGGCAGATCTACTGAAATACACTTCATTTATTTATTTATTACATCTTTTTTCTTTTTTTTTTTTTTAACAATGTTTGCTTTCATTTCTCAGGTGTAGTCCCCATAGAATTTCCACCACCAGTTCACCCATGCACCATCACCACAATCCTTTCTGCTCTTCCCTTCCTCATTTTGATCCCTCTCCGTCCCCCTCCCCTGTAGAATGTCTCAGTGGGGGTGGGGTGAGACAGGAGAGGTCTTCTGTGACATCTGAGTTAACTCCCTGGCCGGGGATTGAACTTATGCTGCAGTGGCTGGCAATAGCTTGATAGCACTGAGCCTTTAATCCCTGCAGCACCAGGAAGGCACTCATTCTTGTGGATTTAAATGAAAACTTTATTTCAAAGGTTCTTTTCATGCCATTCCTTAGTATGTTCAGAAATTTGTGAAGGCCTTGGCTCGTTTGGTACTTTGTAACAGCGGAAGGTGATCACAGGCCTTAGAAGACAGATCTGGGTTTTCAGGCAAATACTTAATTCTCAGAACCTGAGTTTGCTCATCTGTAACAGGGAAATGATACAGTAAACCCTCACTTTATGTTGTCTATTGTTCTTGGACATTGCTATTTTTAAGTAGAACAGTGTATAATGAAAGCAGATCTGTTGCCCAGGATTTTCTCATCAATATTATAACAAAAGGACTTGGGATGAAATTTGGATGTTTTGCGAGGTCCTGCAAGATTTAACTTACAGACTGTTGTAAACTTTATCCACATTATAAGGAAATAACCAAGCATTGGGCCTGGCAGACAGTAGCCACTTTTTAAATGGCAAAAAATAATGATAGTACCTATTTATTGGGGAGAACATCTGTGGTCCAATAGCCAGCTCCCTTCTAAAATCAGGTCACTTTTACCTCTGGTAGTTTGTCCTATAATTGTTCTTAATTCAACCTGAAAACCTATTTGAGCATAAACCAAAAAGTATTTTTCTGAGCTACATAGAACCACCACACACAGCTCTGTGGGTTTTGGGTGAACTCTGTACATGGACCATGATGGCCGTGGCGCTCCTGGCACACGTACTCTCTCGGCAATGGCCCTCCGGTCTCAGGTAGTGTTGCAGCCCTGGAAACGCATGGGTGTAACAGAGGGAAAATATATGGCACCTCAGCCAAACTGAAGGAGTGAATGCCACTGCCTACCCTCACATTGGCTGGTATATTGAAGGCATGTCTGTGTGTTTTATGCCCTCCACAGATCTGCACTCCTGACTTGGTGGTATTCTTGGCTTGCGCCAATCAGAGACTCAAAGAAAGATTGCTGAAGCGCGCAGAGCAGCAGGGGCGGCCTGACGACAATCTGAAAGCTACCCAGAGGAGATTAATGAACTTCAAGCAGAACGCAGCTCCATTAGTGAAATATTTCCAAGAAAAGGGGCTCATCATGACAGTAAGTTGTCTGTGCATTTACATGTCCATTCCAAGAATGAGCTTTCACATTTCTAATGAGTCCCTGTTCTAATTTAGAAATCCTCTTTATTTACACAAAGTGGCTTGGGTTGGGGGGAGGTGCAGAATCAAAGAAAAAATCAAATCAAATTATTTTGATCTGAGTTGTCTTTATAAAGCCATATTGAGAAAAATACTTTCATTGTAGTTTGATTCTGCAAAAGATAATAAACTTTAACCTTGGCTAGAATTATACAGCTGCTAAATAAAAAGTTTTGAAATAATTTTCAAATATTTTTGGGAAATTTTGAAATAATTATTTGAATAATTTGAAGTTTCTTAATTCTGCTGCTTTTGGAAACCAAATAAAATTAGTATACTTATAACTCATATGGTTGGTATAATGTAATACTGAACTTGTAAGTTACACTTTGTCATAATGTAGCACATAAAAAAATGACATTCTGATGACTCCAAATGTTTCCAAAAGGTTTGACATGTTATGAGGAAGTGATGGTGTCTGAAAATTGAAGGCATTGATCATTCTGCACCATTGGTACAATGCAAATATTTTTTATTCAAAAGGGCAGGCTTATTATAAAAAGGGAAAGAAAGGAAAAAGGGTGCTTGCACAGACACAAGCGGGCAGGAAGAGCTTTCCCTGAAAGGAACAGGTTTGTTAAAAGAGACCCCTGCATAGTCACAGGTGGGCAGCCTTGGGAGAGAGCTGCCTCTGCTGCTTTGCAAACGGAGAAGGTTTGCAGGTGAAGAGAAACACCTACATAGTCACAGGCAGACAGGAAAACTGCTGCCACAATGCAGATACTATTGTTTTCATGAATGTTTGGTTTATTGTGTGGTTAACAATACTCAAAGTTCCAATGACGGATAAGATGGAATATATAGTTAATACAGTTACTAGAATATAGGACCTTCATATAGTGGATCTCAGCTAAATTTATGATCCCCATAATAGCAGAGATTCTACTATTAAAATGAAGGCAACAAAGAGAATCATAAGCTATCTGAAGAAGGCATATTATGGATGAAGACAATACAACTGGCTGATGACCTCAGCAGCCACTTTCTCTCTGACCTTGGCTTTCTCACCAGACCACAGAGTCTCATCTAGTAAGATTACGAGTCACTGTAGAGGATCTGATAAAAATGATAAATGCCCATCCCAATAAAATGCACATAGATACTTTTCACAGAATTTATGTAAATCCACTGACGCCTACCCACGGAATGCCTGAGACCTGACAAACCCGGGTTAAAAATCACTTCATTGACTGAGATGCCCTTAGATCTGAAAGAGACTGTCAGAACATTTGAATAATAATGTCTTTGTTGTCTTTTTAGCAGTATAAGGAAATATTTATTAGGATTTGCTCTTTGAGTCAAAGTTGTCATGTCGGGGAGTTATAAATCTCATCTGAAAATTGTTCATTATGCCAGAGTTCATTTTATTGTCTAAATGAGAACAGTTAGTAATAGGAAAGGCTCAAGGAAATTAGGATGGATGTGTCTGTGGCTATTTTTTGTTAGGGTTATTGCTTGCTTCTCTCCAAATTACCAATATTGCCTTCTGTATTTTATCATGATAAAAGATATTTACCCTACAGACCAAACCCCAACTGCTAGGTGCAGAGCCAGTGTTTTAATTGATATTTGCAAGGCTAAGGTATTACCAGAGTGTCTCTGATTACTCCCTGCTTGTCACGTTCGTCATCACAAGCAAAGCAGATTTCCAAAATGAATGCAGAGTGGGAATTGTTAATTTACTAATATTTTGCACAGAAGTGAAATGCCTTTGCCTCTAATTGCGGGAGTCAATAACAATGTAGATGACAGTCTGTAACCTCACTGCTAAAACCAACTGAACTTTAAGATAAACTCCTCTAATTATTGGGAAAGACTTGCCTTGCAGTCACCTTTTGGAAAGTGGTGAACACAAACACAGGCTAAGTTCTGGAGAACATAATTGGAAATTTTAGTTTGACAAGGAGCAAGTACTACATCTTGAACATGTGTCCTTCAGAACCCAGGCCATAGTTCACTTTTGGAATTAAAATATATTTGGTATCATTTCTTATTTTAAAGATGAGTTACAGCATAAAACAATCATTATTAATCATAAGCATTTTAAGATTTTAATAAAATCTGGAGGCTAATAGATCAAACCCAAACATTTCATTTTCCCTGTAGCATTTTCTTTTACTTCTACCTGCCCCTCCAAATTGATTTATTTGTTAAATCAATAAATATTTACTGAGACCCAGTAGGTGCCACATTCTGCTAGGTGCCAGAGGTACAAAGCTAAATAAGCAAAGGATAAGGATCTTTATTTTACTGACATATTTTAGGTACCTAGGACACTAAATGTCTGTTACATAGTATGTTCCCAGTAAATGATTAGAATTTAAAGTCTATGGAGAAAGGCATGTTAAATAATGAGTTATTAAATGTGATGACTGTTGCAGAGAAATACGTGTGGCAAGTCCTCATGTATGAGGGATGCATGTGGAATGCACTCTGTTATGAGTTGGAATTCCCTACAGTGAGTAGAACAGACCCTCTACCTGCCCACAGATAGGATTTATCATTTATTTTGGTGTGAAGGTTAAAGACTAAGAGACCAACCACATCCCTCTTCAGTACTGTAGAGAAACCCCATCTTATTGCTTCTCTTCCTTAGGACTTTGGAGTTTGAAACCCTTGATGTGGAATATTTCATTTCATAAATGTATGATGTTTCAGAACTTGGTCTATGAATTGACCTATTGCAGTGTTGTTCAGATGAGAAGAGATAATGTGTGGTAAGGTGGCAAAAAATAGCAGTGCAGAGGTGGTATATATGGCATGCCACGGAGTCACATCACCTGGTTCAAATTCCAGCTGGGCCACCTACCACCTGTATATGCCCTCCTGCAGGCTCTTACCTTTTATGATTCAGATGCTTGCCCTGTAAACAGGTATGGTTATTCATAGTGCCTCCATGTTTTGTGAGAAGTAAATGGATTTCAAGTGCTTAGAACAGTGCCTGGAACATTGTAAGGGCAATTTTGGTGATTGATATTATTTTATAATTTTCATGTTTTTTCTCTCTCTTCCATCCCCCTCTAATGCCCATCTTTTAGAACCTACAATTACCACTAACAATTCCATGCTCTTGGAAGGTGATACTCTATTGCTTTTATTCCATAGATAAATTACTGAAGAAATTCCAAGTATTTAGGTTTCAAAACAATCACCCAATTTTTTTCTTTAAAAGTATCTGTTAGTTATAAGACTATGCCAATGTTTTCTTTAACTTCTACGCCGTCCATTTAATCAAGCTGTATAACTGGCTGCATCTGAATAATGTGATAGAATTATAACACACAAACCCATTCTTTTTTCTTGTTTTATTTCATTATTGACTGTATTTGTTGGCAGATTTAACTAAAGAATACACACAGTTTGATTCAAGAGAAAACCTAATCAAATAACTGTATACAGCCATCTGTGCAAGTGTAAATTTAATGATACGAAATCACAAGGCTAGTATGCTGGGAACTTCATAGAATCTTTTCAAACAAATTTATGCATTGACTTTTTTAACTTATCATAGGTTGGATGTAATTATTCATCATGTCTCTTACAGCTTTGCGCTTCTAATTATAGATTAAGATACTGTGACTGCCCAAAATTTGTCAAAAGTTTTCATCAAAGTTTGAGTACGGCGGAGACTAGGAAATTTGCTTTAGTCCTAATGATGTATAACCGTTGTCAGTTTGCATTCCCTAACCACAATGCATTAGGAGTCCTCTTTATCCACACCCTCTCAAGCACTTGTATTGGGGGAATCTTTTCAATACAGTCATTCTCACAGGGGTGGGATAGTATCTCATTGTGATTTTGATTTGCATGTCCCTTTTGAACATTTTTTTATATATCTATTGGCCTCTGGATATTCTCTGTGGAGAACTTTCCATTCAGATCTGCTGCCCATTTATTAACTGGGTTGTCTGTTTTCTATTGTTGAGTGAGTTTTTTATATATCTTGGATAATGAGGATAAGTTGGATATTAACACCTCGTCAGTTGTGTAATGTGCAAATAATTTCTTATATTTTTCTTGATGTGTAAAAAGCTTTTTAATTTGAGATAATCCCCATTGTTTATTTTTGCTTTTATTTTCCTTGGCATAAGAAATGAGTCTCCAAAAACATCTTTATCATTGATGCAATGAAACTTATCAGCAGTGTTTTCTTTTATGTATTTTATCATTGAGTTTTGTTGTTGCTTTATAATAAATCTCTTTAGTTTTTCTTTCATGTCTGACTTGGTTTTGATATATTCTTTTCATTTATGTTTTTCTGTGAAGTTCCTTACCCCTCCTTTTGTCTTGAATGATAGTCGCTGGTAAGATAAGGTAGTCTAAGTTAGATATCTTTTTCATTGAGAAGTTTGAGTATTTCCTGTTATTCCCTCTTCTTTTTAAAAATATTTTATTTTTATTTATTTATGCATATAATAAGTAGGGTGTAGACCAGAAGTATGAGAGGTGAGATGAATCACCAGAGACAGGGTGGGGAGCAAAACTGGCAGATCGATAGAAATACACTGCTGAGGGGAGCAGTGGGAGAGACAAGAGAGGTTGATGCACTATGTGGGTTTCTCCCTGGCCCTTTGGGAATCGAACTCATGCTGCAGTGTCTGGCAATAGCTTGATAGTGCTGAGACTTAGACCCTGTCCCACCAGGGAGGCACTGTTGTTCCCTCTTATCTGGTAAGCAGCCTCAACCTCTAAGCTCTGGTTAGCAATAGATATAGCATCGGGAGGGGAATATGGTTGAGCAGGGTCACAGACTTATTCTTTTCATATTTATGATACAGAGCCTTGCCCTTGCGTGCTCATTCCTGTTACTAGGACCCAGATGCTTTGAACTCTGGTTAACAACAGTAGACCATTTAGTTATTATCTTGGCTTAAATCCCCAGGTCAGGGGAGGCTGCAG